AACTTAGACTTTGGTAGAGAAGAACTAAGGATTTAAAGTTCTTGTACAAAAAGAGAGGCTATCTTGAATTAAAGACTATGTTCTCTCTTCTTTTTCAACAGTTCTGTTCTGCATAGTTTTCTGTTTTCCCTTTCAAAAATCGCATTCATCTTTTAGCCCTTCCCAAAATAGTTCACAGATTATCCGAATAACTTTTTTTTTCTATAACATAAATTAGCATGTGGCCACAAGGCTTTGCCGAATCTACCACAGCACATGATAATTTCAAATTCTTCCCATATTAGTTCTGAAACACCGAAGCATCTTCATTCAGTAAAACCATAAAAAAGCTTCACTTGCAATAATTAACATTTTTAAGATACTAAACAAAGTTAAATAGGCTGAAAGATTTCTCAAAAATAAGATTGTATCATACCAAATAAACCACAAATGTTTTGACCCTTTATTATTGAAAGATGTCCAAACTAAAATGAAAGTATCCACCTGTGTACTCTGCCACCGAAGCAATCGAAGATGCTGTCGACGCATTTTCCCAGTCACGTTCTGTGTTCCTGCTAGGATTTCTACTCAATATCGGCAAGGACTCCATTGATTCAACCCTATCGAGAAAAAAAATATGCTGTTTTTCACTCAGATCTTGAATAATTCACCAGTTGTTTGTTCTGACTGAACAAACAGTCCCTCTCCCTCCTCCACATTACCAGATTCTCCCCACAAAATTCTATTATTCCTTTGGGAAATAAAAGGAATTTCAAGTTTGTATAGGCTGTCAATACTGCCAGCAACGCAAAATAGAAGCTGAATTCACTAATTATCGTTGTGGCTCTGCACCAGCAACTTTATAACTGAAAAAAATGACACTGAATCCCAACACCACTTCATAACATAGACTATTTTTTTACCGCTGAGACGGAGTGCCACCCGAGTGCACACTTTCAGGTTCAGTTGTTGCTGCTGAGGCCAAAGACAGACTGGAACCAGACTGAGCACTGCTTAAATTATCAGCTACAAAATAAAAGAGAATGTGTGAAACTCATGCTATTAAGGCAAATTTGCAAATTCAGTGAGAACAAATTAAAATCCTTACGTGTGGACGAACACTTTGTCCCTGAATCACTGTAAGATTCTTCACGATGGACAGATTTCGGCCTGGGTTTCTTGGGCTTGGGTTTGGGTTTTCCAAGACCTTGCTCCTCCAAAATTTGCTGCTGTTTTTTCCTTAAATATTCTTGCTTGATAAGTTCTCTTCGAGCCTTTTCTTCTTCTTTCCGTATTCGGTCCTCCTCAGCTTTGCGACTGAAAAGCAAACACAATGTTCAAAATATAGTAATTTCCCTTATCTTAAAGGCCAAATATCCCTTCCCACTTATGCTAATACCGGGCTTCATCTCTTTTCTGCTCCACTTCAGCCTCCAACTGCTGTTTCC